TATATTTATATTATCCGGTCCTCGGACGAAAAATCATAATTTTTTATTTATACCTAATTATGAATCTATAATATATTAAAGTATATTTGCGACTAAACCCAAAATTTTCAATTTATTAATAGTATCCCACTTGCAAAAATAGTAACAAATTTCTTACACAAGTTATAATAGTATTATAGTAAATATATATGTCTTACTGATATAGGTACCTATATATATAATATGGGTACACCATTCAAGTATTGATTGCAAAAAATTGGGTTCTTTAAGGTATTTCATCCCGATTATTTGTTTCAAAATAAATTAACGAAATCAAAATTAAATAATTAATCATACAAATATAAATTTTGATATAATAATATTCATATAGTGAATTAATTAAGTAAACGTATTAGAGCAGTGTTTGACGAATTCTTTTATATATAAGGAATTCGTTCCGTTCCTTGTTCCTTTGAAAATGAACGAGTTCCTTTTCAGTTCCAAATAAAATTAAAATTYTTATTTAATCGTGCATTATTTTCATTCATAGATATACTTAGGTACCTACTCTACTTTTTAATTATCCTTTTATATACCTATACAAGTACCTATACATATTTTTACTAATGAGTATAATGACTAACTTTAACGATTAAGTTCGATACTTGATAACGATTAACCATCACAAATATTGGCAATATTGAATATTCACACTATAAGGCAAAAAATATTTAAATTTATATTATTTATATATCTATGTAAATTGGAACTCGAAAGGAACGAAAAATATTTTGTTATTTTTTAATAAAAAGGAATTTGTTCTGCGTGCCGTTCCTTAAAAAAGGAACTCGTTCCAGAAATCCGTTCCTTAAAAAAGGAACTCGTTCCAGAAATCCGTTCCTTCCAAATACTGTATTAGTGAAACTATATTATATAGGTTATATAGGTATATTATTATATAATTCAATCTGCAGTTATCGTAAACCACTTAACATTTTCAATTAGCGTATAATTGAAAAATTAAGATAAATATTCGTGGTATTAATATATTATAATCAACAATAAATTGTGTACACTTTATTTAAAGATATTAATACACTATACAATAYACAGTATACTGCAGGGTCGTCTTGAGTTTCAACATTTTAAGGACCCTATTGTTATGTGGAATGCGGAAATGCGGATTATGGAACAATATATACATATATGTCCATGATGAATTCCTCGGAAATCCAAATAATCCAAACTCCTATAAGGCTATACATTTTTTTGGTTTTCAAAATATATTCCCTGTGGCGCATTTACTCTGTAGTGCCAAACTTATATAATATTATATTATCCCTATACGGCGGACGGGAAGCGGTCCCTGCACCGTATACCATTGTATATCACTGTAGAAAGGTACCTAGTTGCTTATATATGGTGCTTAYTTTATAATGTAAGTGAATGACTCTCCACGTGTGTTCCATGTGTGATTAATGGTTATATACAACTGTATATAATGTATTAATGTTAAAACGACATTCATTTTTAAATTTGTAACGCATAATATTACTTATGAAAATTTACGTTGTATTCTTCAATATATTTCAATTTATAGGTTAGAGTCATCAACATTTTACGTAAGACGTAACAACCAATATATATCTGTGTATAGGAAGGTATAATATACCATATTATAAAGGCTTAAACGCGTTAATATTTACGAATACAATATGTTAATATTACCTACACATACTGTTTTCTACGTACTTTCTGCAGTCGACAGTAAAAAAAAAATTTTAAATGGTTTATATAGCCTGTATAGGTATAATATATATGTACATATTTTGCTATTTTTTATTCGTAGGTATAGTGATTAAATGATAAATAGCTAGGTATTTATCATCAAATTATGATATATATAAGTGTATATATTTTTTTCTTTTGTAAATTCGGTTGTTCCAATAGCCGCCTTCATATCCATCTGGAGCAGGCGTAGTATTAGCAACTAGCATGATACAACTGCGCTTTACCACCTTATATAGTTACAATATACATACGTCATATTATATACCTAATACATTGTATATATACCTATATATTATTATGGAATTCAGAAATACTTCATAGTCCGGATTTTGTACACATAAAATTATCAAAAATGGTGACCATTAGGTGGCAAAAGCATTAACTTGAAAATAAAATACTATAAACATATATTTTTTTAATCTTGTCATTTTCTAGTAGCCMGTAGGTAATATAAATTGATGGGTGAAGGAGTGATTGCCTCATATAATATAACATTTTATTTAGGCATTTAAGTAAGCATCATTTAAACGAATAATAATTTATCTATAATAGTTTATGCTTTTTTTCTATATTTGCATTGGTTAATGGTTATTGTGTACCTATTATAGATTAAGGCATATAGACTTATAATATATTTGATATATATTATATAGTATATAGTATATACTTTTAATATATTAGAGTATCTTATCTAAGTTGGTGTATATATATATAGGTTATAATATGTACAACATAATAATATAATAATAACATTATCAGCTATTAATAATCGAAATCATAACAAACTTCCAGGTTTTTTTTTAATCAGGGTAGTGTGCTTACTGTTACTATATCCCAAACAATCATCATATTTTTATACCTTATCCACGGAGTTTATCTGATGACTCCTCTGCCAATCTACAGGGTTATTATTTAATGTTTKTCGACAGCAAAATTATAAAAATATGAAATTAAAAATAATCTCCTATATGATATTCAGATTCAAGGTGGCATGATCTATTTCTACTAAATATAGTTAAACAAACACGAGATAATATTTCAGTATCCTGGTATTCGAGGTATACTATTATGACTTATGAGTTCTGTATAAGTTTTTTTTTAAAGGTCCTAGGTTYTGAGTRRCTGTGTTGGGTCATAAATTATGATGGTACAATATATATTATATTATGTGATCTGTATAATAAGCTGCAATGATTAATTACTCCATTTATATCGATTTTTAATGAAAATAAAGTATAAAGTTATATATTATACTGTTATAGGCTAAATATTAAGTGGTGCATCGATCATTGGATAAAAACGATCTGCATATTATATAGGAATCAATTTATTATTCGTTATACGAGTGTACAACGATATAACTATACGAATGAAATGATTCGAAAGCTTTTGCACAAATATAAGTCTATGTGGCTATTTATAATATGAATTAATATATTATTATGTATAATTAATATATTAATATTTGTATATAATATACAAGTTTGAGTAGTTATAAAAAATAGGAAATATATTAACTGTTTGAACATTTTAATGGTTATTATGGCTTTCTGGGGGTATATGGCTGCTGTGCAAGGTTCAAAAACGCAGGGATGAGTAGTATTTTATAATATATATTATTAAATTGGTATACACGCGCTGAAAATTATAAAAAATACTTCATATTTACGGGATCATACAAAGTATTATATACCTAATGGGTATTGGCGGTATTGCTGCAGCAGCTCAGCTGCTCAGCAGCATAATATGCAGTCGTATGCAATTTATATAGGTTAATATATACTCGTAGTTACACACGCAGCGCACAACTATTGCTTTTGAAATATATTACATATTATGTAGTAATATTATTTTAGCRGACACACTCGTCATCATAAATGACGATGGTTTTCCAACCCCGTCGCCGGTGTGGTGTGATGGGTGAAGGGTGAAGCGTGTGTTTTAGCGCGCATTTTCGGTCTACTGCATSAGCCACCCAAAATCAAAACGAGACTGATGCAGCAGCTCTACACACTATACATTCTCTGCATTCAGTTCGAAAACGAGCGGGTCATGGTTTATTACTATTGTGCTGCTCATGAAMATCTCTCGTCCGGAATATTATATACATATTACACACATCGCGCGCATCGTGCAGTTCAGTCTCCGGTCGGTTCGGCATCGGATTATTGTTCGTATTACCGCATTAGTCGGCGCCGTTCTCCATTTCCCCCGACCCGTCCACGTATGTATGCTCTCCCTAACCTAGGACACGCTGCACGTACACAACACCGTTTGTGGAGGGGGTAGGGTGCCGGTAATGGGAAAGAGGGATGCGGCGGTGCCACGCCGTTGACGCGGCAAAAGAATATTGTGCGGCGCAACCACGACTGCCACGTATGGGCAGCGGCGAAGAATCTTGTGAACGAAAATGGGAGGGAAAATAATGTTCAAAGCGTAGGAACCGGGGCCCAAGTCAACAGTGCGTGTACCTTTAGTACCTACCGCGTGTTGATAATACGCGACGACACCGCACGCCGGTTCTGCGATTTCCAGCGACGACCGCCGTAGTCCGGCTCCGGTGTGACAGCACCCCGCAAGCGCCACCACTGCACAGCGCTCACACGCACGTACATAATATATAATGTGTATATTACTATCACGGCTATTATGAACGACAACGCGATGTATATATCATATGTACATAATTCAGTATGTATTATATATACCATAAGGCAATGCTGCGGCGGCTGCTGCTGATGTTGCCGCTGCTGTGACCGGCCCCCGCCGGATGGGAGTGATTTGCGGTTCGGGGCGCATGCGCAGTGCCCGTCCATTTTTCGGTTGGGGGATACGTCGCGCCGGCTTTCTCGCCTCCCCACACTCTCTCGCCGGGAAAAATGCCCTGTCCGTCGCACGCCGCACAATACCATAATAATAATAATATATATATTACCATTTACGCGTCACATATAATATTATTATATATTGTATTATATTATTATACGCCACCCCGAGTGGCGCGCGCGCACGCACCCTAACCTAACACGACGCGTTTTTCGTGAAGGCCACAACATTTTTACCATACCGCCGCCGCCGCCGCCGCCGCCGCCGCCACTGGACGAACCAGCAGAACGACGAAAACGTGCACCAGGCCTCGGCGTAGTACACGAACGCACTCATTCGCGCGCGCACGCAGCTCACTAGTACTTCACGTGCGCACCGTAATACATTTTTTCAATGCGTTTAGTATTCAACTGCAGTGATTTTGATACATAATATTATATCAGTAGTGACTTTAAAACAAAATTTAATTACTTAGAACTGTGACACGAGTGTTATCCGACGGAGGTTTTTTTCTTCGACCACCACAATATTGCACCGGTACCATAACGGACGACGGTTAATATTATTGACAATATACTAGGTAATTAATATTTATACATTAATAACTACTACTAATAGTAAAGCATCAATCGATGGCATTTAAATATTTATTTTCTATAATATTATGTACGTGGGTGTAAAATATCCAACTATATTGGGCGCACAAAGCTCCCATAATATTATGTATACCTACCTACCTATTATATTAATTTTAGATTTATTATACTTTGTACAATACCACAACGCCGCACGCGTGTTCAATGTTCATCGTATGCTGACGGTTTTATCCTATCATAATATTATTAATTATATATCGCTGTGACATCGTGATCCGAGGACCCATATATTGGTGTTGTGATTTTTCTCGTTTTTCCTAGYCACCGATGACATACTAAACTATTCAGTCTGCGATATTTTATATTATTTTATGTGTGATCATAGATAATACTCAGCTTTACGTTTATCTATATATACCTGCGTGTGATCTATCTACATTCAACTTCTACATTTACATGTATCACGCACGCCGTAGTGGTGTCTCGTATCRGTCGTATCTCGCACTTCACCTTTATAAGTATACTCATTTACTCGAACCTACCTAAAATATCTTTAAATAACGCATGACATTTATTAATCCAATTTTAGGTATATGTCTTGAATTATTTGGTATATCTTTAAATAACGCATGACATTTATTAATCCAATTTTAGGTATATGTCTTGAATTATTTGGTATATCTTTAAATAACGCATGACATTTATTAATCCAATTTTAGGTATATGTCTTGAATTATTTGGTATATCTTTAAATAACGCATGTGCAGGTTTGAGATATTATAATATATTATTTTCTTGATTTGTATGTTTTTCTTGCAGGTGCCGAACGCTTCAAGCCACGAACCTGCACCGAAATGAGTGAAAACAATACCGAAAACAATCAACTATCGACGGCACCTTCTAACGGTGGTGAGTCATTGTAGATAYAAGATACTGGGCTTATGATTTTACGTTTCAGACCAAAAAACAAACAAATAGGCGTATGCACCTACGTTTTAAACGAAACTAGATAATATTTCTTTACAATATACATAGCATACCTTTTACCTATATCATAATGTTCACTCGACGTACTTTGCCGGTTTATAATTACTTCTTTATACTATGAGGTATACCTAAGTACCAGTGGCGTAGCCAGGGGTAGGGCTGAGGGGGCTGCAGCCCCCCCCCC